CTGGCCAACCTCCCGTGTCCCTCCCCAGCCCTGATCATGCACTGGTGGGGTCCCTCGGCCTGGCCTGCACCCTCTCGCAATCCGTGACCCCTCAGGGCATATTGGAGAGCCAGTTTATGCCCCATCCCGCAGGCCAGGCCGAGGGACCCCACTGGTGCATGAATTCTTGCACCGGGCCTCTACTATGCATTTAAGTTCTTTAGTTAATCTCTTCCCATCCCCTCACCCACCCCCTTCCTGTTGACATTCCTCAGTCTGCTTCTTGTATCCAAGTCTCTGGTCCTTTTGGGGGCGGGGGTCAGTATATTTTGTTCATTAGATTCCACGTGTGAGTGGAATCATGGGACACGTGTCTTTCTCTGACTGGCTTATTTCACTTAGCATCATACCCTCCAGGTCCCTCCGTTCTGTCCCAAAGGGTAAGAGACCCTCCTTTTTCAGGGCTGCACAGTATTCCATGGTGTCGATGGACCACAGCTGTTTTATCCACTCGTCTGCTGATGGGCACTTGGGCTGTTTCCAGATCTTAGCTATTGTAAATCGTGCAGCTATGAACACAGGGGTGCACATATTCTTTCTGATGGGTGTTTCGGGGTTCTTAGGATGGATTTTTGAAGGAGGCGATTAGCATTAAATAACTAGTTAAATTTTAAGGTTCAAACATGGGTAATGACTTACCGATGGAATTTTGTTTTTTTGTTCCTTTTCTTTCATGGCAATGACTTTTGCTATCATGTCCCTTGGTCATCACAGCGCACCCCCCCCCCCAGTGTGTAACAACTCTTAGCTTTCCTAAAATCACCAGATAGTGGTCTCCCTTTGGACTAAATGGCCAACCACAGAAGGAGATAAAGTCATTGTGTCCTTTTAGGGGATCTGAGTTCATTCCACGTAGATGTGGTGAGATTAAACTCTTAGGTTCTGCTTCTTCTTGAGATTATGTGCTCACGAGGCCTGTCTGAGGTTACATTTAGGGACGCAGCCAAGTAACTCACACCCCAAAAAGGAGCTGGATGGCCCCAGAACTTGGCACAGCTCAAGCTCATCCTTAATGGGCCAAGAGATACAAGTAATTGAGAGCTTGGGGTTTATGCCATGAGAATGTCAGAAAACCAGTTTTTAATTGATGGAAGTAGAGATAGAATCCACAAATTAAGCGAGCATTTCCAAACGGGAGCTGACTTAAGCAACCCAAAGATGACACACTTTTCTTTCCAGGAGCTTCGATCTTCGGCCAAAGAAAATAAGAAGGTACTCAGATCTCCAAGATGACGCTCAGGTACGGGAAGTAATAAGCCACCGGGCAAACGCACTGATGCTGATGTGTAATTTTGTGGCATCTGTGAAGTCAGCTCGATAGCTAGAGGCATGCACTATTGTGCATTCATTATGTGGTTAGCTGTCAAATGTCTACGTTTATCTTCTGGGTTCATAAGTTCATAATGAAAAGGGAAGTAGGAGAGATGTAGACAATTGAAACAAATAGAAATGGCCAATTTCCAACACACTTATTTTATATTTATTGATTTATTAGAGAGAGAGAGAGAGAGAGGGAGAGAGAGAGAGAGAGATTTGTGGTTCCACTTATTCATGCACTCATTGGGTGATTCTTTGTGTGCCCTGACCAGGGATCGGACTCACAACCTTGTTATATCAAGACGATGCTCTAACCACCTGAGCTACCTGGCCAGGGTCTGTATTATTTTGAAATGTTGTACAAACAGGAATTGAGAGAAACAACGCAATCATTTTGGTGAAGATGAAAGCATTTCTGTAATTATTATGGTTTGTCCATAGACAAAGTCCTTGCCGTAGACTTCTTGTTAACTGTTTTGGGGGTCCAAAGTTTGGGAAAAGCAGAGTTTCAATCTTGAGTCAATAGTTATATCAGAGGATTTATAAAGGGTCTGGGAACAGATGGGGTCAGGGAATCTTTCTACCCTCCTCCATCCCAGAGTAAATATTTAACAACGATTTTACTCTATGAAGAAAGACAACATAGAGATTGAACCAATGTCTAATATCCATTACCTGGTACCTGGTAGAGACCCAATAGGAAGAGAAATATTATTTACTAGAGGTCTGGTGCACGAATTCGGGCACCAGTGGGGTCTCTCGGCCTGTCCTTCAGGATTGGGCCGAAACCAGCTCTCCAACATCCCCCAAGGGGTCCTGGGTTGAGAGACGGCACAGGCCAGGAAAGGGATCCCAGCGGTGCATGATCAAGGCTAGAGAGGGACACAGAAGGTTGGCCAGCTGGGGATGGACCACGGGAGGGCTGCAGGGTGTAGCTGGCCCATCTCGCTTCGTCCTGTTAAGCTGGACCCCAGCAGCAAGCTAACGTACCGGTCAGAGCGTCTGTCCCCTGGTGGTCAGTGCACGTCAGAGCAACTGGTCAACGGGTTGCCTGTTTGCCCCTTGGTGGTCAGTGCACATCACAGCCAGCGGTTGAGCGGCTGTAGCGTATCATTTGCATATTACGCTTTGATGGATTGAACGGCCAACTGGTCGACCAGACACTTAGCATATTAGGCTTTTAATTCATAGGCTGTGTTTGAGAAATCAGGACTTGGAGTTGGGACTGAGCATAATTAGGAAGCGGACTAAATCCATGTCCAGATTCCAGGATTCATCTTTCTTCCATGCCCTCCCCCTTTTCCTTTATTTTGGGGTGCCTTTTTCTTTGTTTGTTTTTCTCATTTTCTACCAAATGTTTTGTTTTGTTTTTCAGCAAAGCTGGTATACCCACACACAATTACATTTTCACGTGAAGGGAGTCAGCCACACAACCAGAACATGACCTTATACATCTTAGCACTGTAACCTTAACCACGAGTCAACAAATTAACCAGGAGCCTAATTGCATAAGTCTGTGCAATATCACCATAACCACATGGCAGAAATCAAGAAATCATAAGCACACGTCAGCAACATAACCACCAACATCACCTCCTACGACTGAGCGCCTCTCACCCAAGGAATAAATGCTTTGTCTCCGAGCCAATTTATGTTTTCGGATTCCACCTCCTAGAACAGCAATGAGTTTGAGTGTGTTGAGCACCCAGGAGAGCCGGCCCTTGAGCAGGGTGGGTACCATTCAACAGCGATGAGCGACCTGGACTTGGAGAGAGAAGCCCGTAGGCCCTGTCCTGGGACATGTGCCTGGCGTCCAACCTACCCTGTTGCCTTCACAGAAGATGACGTGGGCGTGGAACATGGACCCTGAAACCATCCAGAAAAGGGTGTTTCCTTACAACCCGTGCTTGTTTTTTCAGGAGGCGCTGGGCGTCCCTGTCTTGGATGTGGTTACTCCTCACCGTGGGCCAGTCGCAAAGGGCGGACGATGACAAGCCTAATATCGTCCTGATAATGGCAGACGACCTTGGGATTGGAGACCTGGGCTGCTATGGAAACGACACCATCAGGTGTGTCCTCGAGGCTGGGAGGGTTGATGCCTCTCATGACCGCTTCTCCCTGCAACAGCAACGTTATCTTGTTGGCTTCCTCTTTGAGAACGAGGTCATATTAAATGCATGTGGATTTGAGTCTTGATTCTGGACTCATGGTGGTGCAACCTCGGACAACTTACCTCACCTTTATGCATCTTGATTTTATTATCTACTGGAGGTCCGGTGCATGAAATTCGTGCACGGGTGGGGTCCCTAGACCTGTCCAACGATCAGGGCTGATCTGTGGGGCAATCGGGGGGCCCCTGCTGGCACCTGCCTTGGCTGGCCTAGGGCGTGCAGGCTGGGGGCAGCTCCTGTGTTGACCATCTGTTCCCTGGTGGCCAGTCGTTCCACCGTCTGGTCGATTTGCATATTAGGCTTTTATTATATTTGACTAGAGGCTCCGGTGCACGAAATTCATGCACGGGGCGCGGTGTGCCTCAGCCCGGCCTGCACCCTCTCCAATCGGGGACCCCTCGGAGGATGTCTGACTGCGGGATCAGGCCTAAGCCGGCAGTCAGACATCCCTCTCACAATCCAGGACTGATGGCTCCTAACTGCTCGCCTGCCTGCCTGTCTGATTGCCCCTAACCACTTCTGCCTGGCATGATCACCTAACCGCTCACCTTCCTGCTTACCTGATCACCCCTAAACACTCTGCCTGTCGGCCTACTCGCCCCCAACTGCTCCCCCTGCTGGCCTGATCACCCCCAACTGCCCTCCCCTCTGGCCTGATGGCCCCCAACTGCCCTCCCCTCTGGCCCAATTGCTCCCAACTGCCCTACCCTGCTAAACCAGTCACAACCAACTGCCCTTCCCTGCCAGCCTGGTCACCCCCAACTGCCCTCCCCTGCCAGCCTGGTCACCCTCAACTGCCCTCCCCTACTGGCCATCTGGTGGCGGCCATCCTATGATGACGTGAGGGCGTCGCGCAAGTGCGTGAGGACCACCTAGGCTTTCTTTTATTAGTATAGATTATACTTTATTATATTTGATATTAGGATTATATATATATAATATATATAATATATTTGATTTGCAAAACCAAATTGTACCAGTTCTGCAA